CCCCAAAACCCCAAAACCCCAAAACCCCAAAACCCCAAAACCCCAAAACCCCTACGTGTGACATTCATATTGACAGGTGATATTAGCAATTTAATTAAAAAGTGATCAAGCTTTATTAACAAAATGGTCCAGATTATTTGGAAATTATTAGTACTTATCCTCTATGTGACGCTAGCCTTTGTTTCTTGGCTCCTCTGGCGGTTCTACATAAAGCCAGTTATTGTAAGGTCAAGGTACAGGAAACACAAGAACGTATTTATGGGTAAAGGATTCTATACCCCTATTTTGGGAGACTTCTTGCAAGTCAAAAAGAATTTGGAAAATGACGAGTATCTGTTCAACCACTTGATCCAAGACGGAATCAACTCTTCCAAGGTACTTATATAAATTAATTCCTTAGGCCAGATTCCAAAATAGAGGCACTGATAAATATGAGAATGAGAAAGATATACAGTTGATACAATTTGGAGATTCACTTCGGATTTCTGCAATCTCAACTAAAGCTGTTGATGAATTGAACAAAATACCAACTACGATCTGTGATAGAACTCAAAGTGAATTCCATGCACTTGAAAGAGCTGCTCCAAAGTCATTCACGATTGTTAGGACTAACCAAAACTGGAAGAAGAGGCGAGAAGCCTTTGTCAGATCAATGAAACTCAATTATGTCTCCAAAAATATCCCAATGGTCATGAAAGCACTGGAGGATAAAGTGGCAACATGGAAAGAGGGACAAGAGATAAATTTCTCAGATGAGATGAAAGAAGTAACCTTCAAAGTAATCCTGACAATTCTGTTTGGAGCAAATCTGTTCGATAAAATTGAGAAAGTAGGATATGAACAAGAAGATGGCACCATTGTTCAAAAATCTATTCCTAATGCTCTGAATGACCTTTTCCATGATCATAATTCAATGTTTAACCATTGGCTCTTTTTGGCATCCCCTTCTATTGCTGAATTCCTGAACATACCTATCATGAGGAGAAATAAGACAAACAGAGATGAGATTTATCGCGTTCTTCGAAATTTCTTGAAAAAGGACGCTGATAAAGATAGTGTTTATCAAAGAGTCATGACTGAGCATGGACTCACCGAAGAAGAAGCTCTACAAGATACTGTCTTCTTCCTCAGTGCAGGTCTGGATACTACAGCTAGTGGGATCACTTCAACCATTTACTTGCTCAAAAAGTATCCAGAAACTTACCAAAAATTGAGGAAAGAGTTGGAAGAAGCAGGTGTAACTAAGGACTCTGATTTTTCAGATCCTGAAGTTCAAGAAGCTGTAAGCAATTGTAGCTACCTCTACTATGTTTTTAAGGAGATGACAAGAATTGACACCCCTGTTACAGGATCCTTGCTAAGAGTTGCTTTGAAAGACTTCAAGCTTTGTGAAGTTCCAATTCCTAAGGGCGCTTTAGTAACATTCAGCTTCCTCCATAATCACGTAAATTACGAGCATTGGTATGAGCCTACTAAATTTATACCAGAGAGGTTTGATCCAGATCACCCTTACTTCAATAACCCAGTGGATCAAAAAAGCAGAAGAAACCCGACCATACATTCACCTTTCGGGTTTGGACTTCGAAAATGTCCAGGACAAGTTTTGGCAACCCTAGAAACTAAATTTATGGTTGCTAAATTAGTGCTAATGATGGACTATGATGTAGCCAAAGACCAACTAACTAGAGATCATATGAAATTCAGTTTTATCAGCCACCACAGACTCAGGATTACATACAAGGGTATGCTCTAAATTTCACTAAGTGCGTACCATCATAATAAGATTAGTATTGACAATAATATAATTCAAGTGAGTGAACAGGTAAAGGGGTTTTGGGGTTTTGGGGTTTTGGGGTTTTGGGG